ACACACACACACACACAAACACACCGAAAACCTCTTGTTATGATGTGTTTTTATTATACTTCATTCCGTCAGTGATGCAAAAACGCATAAAAATCAAAACGAAGAGTTACATTGTCTGACCGCTCCTTATCAGTCGAGAATTTAAAATGATTTAGTGAACTGTTATTGATTGTGAGATAAGGTGATGGCGTAGGTGTTGGGGTTGAACCCGTTGATCTTGCATCCTCTGACGGGTGCTCCATCCGTTCATCATGCGCGAAAAATTCCGAAATTTTCTGCAAAAAATTACAGTTTATGGAAAATGACCGGCCAATAGCTCATTCAAGCAAGGAAACATTCTTTTCTGGGATACAAAATATCGTCAGAACAGATGGTTTTGTGCACCTAGATGAGTTTGTTTTAAATGAATGGACTCGTAACTGCTGGGCAGAGGTAAACAGAGTGGCGATCGATCCTATTTAAAGCAACAAAGTGATCGAAAAAGAAAAGAAAAGAAGGCCAGAGTTTTGCCAACAAGAAGCGCCATATTGAGTTGTCACACATTTTTGTGATTCTGAGTTGTATTGTTGGTGCTGTGAATAAGTTGTAGGTTTAACTGCAGACTCCATCAGCAAGCATCAGCTTGTTCATGTTCAGCAGCTTACATCAGGAAAATCATTGTGTTTCTCAAGTTATTTAAATGTCCGTAACTTACGAGGCGGCGAGCATGGAACTGACTGGCGCTGCAGGATGGCGTTTTTACTTCGTATGTGCTATGAAATATGCCGTAGTCGATTTGATATGACCCATTACTACGCTGATATGTTACAAGCTTTTTGAACCTTAAATACAAAGCATACCAAAGAATGAAATCAGAAACTGCTCAAATTTTGAAAAAAATAAAAACAAGTATAAACTTATTTATGCCAGCCCATTAATTGATTCGTGCAAGCCAATAGCAATATCGAGTACAGGAAAGCTAATTTCAGCCCCTCATACGTGAAATTAAATTTAATCCTGACCAGCTGCCTAATTTAATTTTGATCCGTTAGGCACATAATATGTGATAATTTGCAATATTTTAAAGCTGCATTCAATGTACTGACCTGTGTCCCCAGAGAATCTCGCAAGGTAGATAGGAGGTACGTGCTTGAGCAGTCATTCCTGTTGATTCAACGATTCCTTCCAACAGTACAACAATTTCAAACTGAGCACTCAACATCGAACTTGCATTATATTCGTACAGCGGGCTCTCACTGTCAATTACGTGACAGAGCGTGCTCGGCCACACCTCGAATAATGCAGTATTCACGAGTGCTGCACTGGGAGTTTTAGCTTTACGAGATTACTAGCAGCTCAGGGCAACGAAATGAGCAGACTGGTCTAATTTCCAAATTCAAATAAAGAATCTAATGGCTCACAAATTCAGTGCTTTGCAAAAGTCGCCTTACTTTGTTCCGACAGTAAATTTTTTCCGATAATAAAATTTCACATTTAAAATTAATTAATAGTTCACGGCCAAGGAAGCATTTGTTTTCAGAATATAAAAATTCGACTGTAGCTTTTTCTGGGTTTCAAAATCACTACTGGTTAAAGAAAAATAGAACTGCTTTCAGTGGTTTTGACTAGCTAGTCCCGCCAAGAACTTTTGAAAAAAATCTTAGAGAAAACTTGAGCTGAGCGTATTTGAAGGAAAATTTGGGAGTAGATTAGGGTCATTCCCTGTATATTAATCTATACCAGACTATTAGTCTTATTTAAAGCCAAATCATTTGCTGAAGTGTACCACTGCAAATGGAGTTTAGCGTAACAAGTGCGAGTTTTATACACTTCTAGAACGAAGCGAAACGAAGACAAAACTTACCAAAAAAATGCGGTCATCATCAGTAGTACTGGGACCCACTTTCATTTCATACTGATGCAATGGCTCGATCTGAACGATTCGCCAGTAAGAACAAAAGTATGAGATTTCCAAGGCTGCCAGAAATAAACAACGTGGGGAACAATTAGCACCATTGTATGTCACTCTCAAACGCCATCCTTATTTTCTTGCGGATACCACACATGACCATTTATTTTCTTAAGGTTACTGCGCACTGATTTTCAGCTAGTCAAGTAGCATGTCCTGCCTACCGGATTTTATTGTCCCGTATAATGGCAATGACATTCTGTACACCTCCCATATGTCGAGGAGTTTGAATGCATCTAAACTGCATTCTTCTTGCAGTCTTCCTCAGGTCACAAGCAACGTTCGCTCCTCTACTTCCCTCAGTGACTACTTTATGTATTCATACGTCATTAGTTTCAACGCAGTGGTAGTGAAAAGGTGGCATGTTTCTTCCGATTCGATGTTTTTTTTCGCTTAAGTTTTGCGTTTAAGTCACTTATAACAGCTGTGTATGTGACCGACTGCGAGGAAACATGCCACCAACTCAGCATACTGCTCTCCAACCACAATCGTCGATGGCCATGGTTGGAGCATAAAGTTGGTTGACTCTGAGAATTTTATTGAAGTCTAGCTTGAACGGTATGCGAATTCGAGCCTAAAGGAACTCCTGCCAAAAGCGGTAGTTTTTATCACGTGAGGTAAAAACTACCGCTTCGGGTTATAGTGTGCTCAGCCCCTGAACGTGATCCACTTATGCCGAAGAGTTTGCAACAGTAGTATAAGCAAATGCGAGATTTTCGATGCTTTATTGGAATCCAGCTTGAAGAGGAGCACGTCCTTTTCCATTTCCACGTTTCAAATTCAACCTCAAAGCAGTAAATCGAACATTGAGTTGAGTAACACTGCAATTACATTACCTCGCCCTCGGCAGTTTCGCGATCAGTGATGAATTGCAGGCGCACATGCGCTTCCACCAAATGGGTATTCCGCATATCACCAACGCGACACAGAAAGCACAGTTGCCCATCCCGCAGACAAATTACTGCTTTTTCACTGCAATTTGTTTTAAACTGTTTCGCGCAATGATTTATGCTGCTGTTTCGCGAAATAAGACAAACGATTCCTATTCATCCACTTTGCTTAACGGGATTCAATCAATCCAAAACTTTAACTCATATCAGTGGGCTGTTCGCTTTTGCGATAGATTTTTTTCAAGCACATTATCCCACAAAGTATCGCATTTGCTCGTGCGCCTAATGCATGAGCATGTGCTTACGGTGCCATTGAGTTTTATAGTTCTATATGATTGGGGAACAAGCTCCTGAAATCCTAGTTCGAAGTCTCGCCAAAATTTCCATACTATAAACATAGAAATCCTGTACGCACAGCTGCTAGCCTATACCAAAATCACAATTAGAAATTTCGGACAGTTGATTGCCGCATTGCCCTGGCTAAATTGCAGTTTACTAAACACTGAATTGAAGTATCCAAACTTTACTTTAGCACTACACGAAGCAATAAAACGAAATGTGGCATGGGACAGGATGCTGTTTCGATGTTTTTTGAATGACCATGCTCAAAAAGATTTCATTTTCTAGACAGCGTCAAGCATTAAACCTGAAAATGATCGTTTCAGCTCGCTTTTTAGGTCGTGCCATCTTTGCGAATACAAGACCAACCATAAAACTTTGAATGAGAAGACCACATATACACTGAAGGCACATTATTGCACCGGCCATTGGGCACTCCGTTGTTATATACCTGAAAATTTATTCGGTAGGTAAATATTTTGAAAAGAGACAAACTTCTTTTTATAAATAGTCTGTCGGAAATGTAGAGGTATCCGTTTATGAAAGTAATTAAGTAACGTGAGTAGACTGTAAGCAACAAGGCTGTCAATGACTCTTGCCGAATCTATTTAGAAGGAAGCTGATGGCGGTTTTGATTTCTTGGCATGAGCCAGTACCAGTTTACTGTTAGAAAGAATGTGTGAATCGCAGGAAGATTGCCAGTCCTGTTTGTGGAGTCGATTCTTCGGCATTCAGCAAAACACCAGTGTTGCTTGCTTATGCTACGGTCCCATAAGAAACAGCCCGAGTGGCGCCGCAAAAAAATTATGATGAACCTGTGTCCATAACCAATGGTATGATGTGTTTCCACAGCAAACAGGAATGATGAGAAGAAGGAGTCAATGTTTTGAATGCAAACAGAATGATTGAATAAACCGCGTTTAAACTGATTACGGATATCGCCATGCAGAACACTTATCACATAATAAAAACTGGCAAACACTGTCCAGCTGAAAATCGCTTTTTTAACTCTGTTGTAATAAATGACCGCCACCAAAAATCGCAATTTCAGACAATGTTAAGAAATGAGACAAATAATTTTCCTTCCTTCAGGAAATTTCAGACTTGAATTTAGACCATGAGCTAGAACAGGATGCAAATTTTGAAAGCCAATCAAGTTGTCCCAAAAGTCCGATGTATAGAGCTCCTTAAATTCTCAGTTTGTGTTTTAGAATGTATTCCCAAGTTTCACTCAAAGCGTGAGACACAAATATGGCTCTTTTCCTGGGCTGCTCTCAGAGGATGAGATACGGGCAGAAAAAGTTTATTTCTGAGAATCGTCCGACATTTGCTACTGAACGTGATGAAAATTCATTCCGGATTTCCAAAACATAAACGATAAACTGACCTGCTCATGAAAACGATAGCAAATATAACAAGCATGTACCGCCACTTCACATCAATCATAGTTGTAAAAATGTCCCTGAATGGAATGCTGATCAGCAGAGATCGCATGTAACCAGAGAGTTTCAGACAGTTGCAACGATTTCGTATTTACTAACTCAGCTTACAGTGAATTTTGCCTGTACACATTAAATTTTATCTGGAAATGGTGTTGCAGCTTTGCGGCCAGAAAACAAACCTCAGATACTGTCGATCTTTCTTTGGTACATTAGTATTATATACATTACAGATCCCATTTTTCGCAATCAACCTTGATTTCTTCATCTTCTTCGTCGCCTTCCGCAACAGTGGTGTTGAGTTGCGTCGCGTCGTTATTGCGGCCATTGTCCGAAAGCTCTCCGAGAACGCATCTGTAAATGCGAGACAGTCAGCTCATTACAAAAAAATGTGCGATTTCAGACGATTTTAATTCTTTTGTTAATTGATTTCTCAACCTTGTTTCAAGCACTTTCCCACGAAATTCCCATTTATCTTCTCGTGCTGCAGATGAAAACGACTTTGTGGCGTAACTGTTTGAGATGCTTACGTCGTAACCAAATTTGGTTAGTTTTATCAGGCGAGTAAATATTTTTAGGCTGAAGAAACATTTTTAGGTCATTTTAAAATCACCATGATATGACAAATTTAACGAACTGGTGGTTACAAAAAATCCAATTTGACGAAAGCAGTTAAATAGTGACACTATTAGAAATTCACAAACAGCTACTGCCAAGTTTTTCCTATAATCTTTCGAAAGTGGAGAAGGAAAACTCTGGAAAACAGCGGTAAAGAAGAAGACCGTTTTAGTATACGTCGCCAAATCTACAAAAGCTTCCCTCCCCAACACACTTCAAGAAGCGCACAACCGTGGACATAAATAATTTTTTTTGGCTTCCCAATTAAAATCCATGGCGTATGGCCTAGACTGAAGCACACAGGGCACGACGGTAGCACTTTCTCGCGTTATGCATGAAACGTCCAGTTTTTACCAGCAATTGATGAAGAGCGGTTGAACAGTGGACTTTTGGTGCCATTTAACAGCGGCTGCGTACCTAAACTCATTTTGCGTCTTTTCCTAGCCACTCGAGTTTTATTTATCTCCGGAAATGTCGGCACCGACAGTGTCATCGCCCTGAAACAATGTAAAGAATTTGTGGAATCTTGAAGCGTTAATAAATATCTTTGCTTTGTGATTTGAAGCAAAAAGCGTAACCAGTCAGCTCACACGTTTCACTAATTTACACTTACAAACAGCTTTTTATTTTTCGCTACTCGGAAATAAGC